CTCATCGATGTCAAAATTAATTTTTCTTATAGCTCGCTCTTCATCCTTAAATTCAAAAAACAATATTCTTATAGCTTACTCTTCATCCTTAGATTCTATGCAATGTAAATGACGTTGACGAGCTCTGCAAGCAGATGAGGCGCTTACGATGGGTGAGTTCCCTGGTTGCGCATCTGCACGCTGCTAGCCGTTCTCCTTACTAAAATGAATATTGGCTCTGGTAACCTGTGCGTCGGTATCACCCGTAGAAAATGACAAGCATATTGATGTCAAGTGCACTGCAATGCTTATGTTCTCTCTACTGCTTGAGGTGCCGTGTGATACGGCGTCGGGGTCTTGGACTGAGATGTGGCCCTGATGAATTTAGCTGGGAGAGGTGTCGCCCTCCGTCGAAGAAGCAGGGTCCTCCTAAGTTCTGCTAGCCGATGGTGTAAGACCACTTATTGGAGAAAGGGATCTGGTCTTTTCCACAAGATGTAAAAAAAAATCGTTCCTAGGGGGATCTTGTTTTGAATGCTTCTCGTTGTCGGGCTCCAACGTTGTATCTGGGCAAGGCTGTGAGGTGGTGTTCTGTGAGCAGCACCGTTGGCCGTCTTCTTGGCTATTTTGTCTTAGCCCTGGCTATACCCTTGGGATTCGTCTTAATCTTAGAGGTAAATAGAAAGACGCGCTTCCAACGGAAGTCGTCTGGGAGAAAGCCTTGCTTTGATGATCTGAACAAAGTCCCGGCAAGATATCCAAAGCTTAGACGGTTGCTACCTATCATTTTGCTTGAGGGAGCGTATAAAATTAAATTAAGTCGCCATGATTAACCACTGTCGGTTACGACCTCTTACGACCTCTAAGAAATCTGTTCCTGGTTTTAGTCAATTAGTCCTCACTTTGGTACCCTTGACAAGTTTAACCTTCTTTTTGGTCATGAATGTTTGACGAAAAGGACTCAATTCTCTGTGATAAATTTATGACTATTTCATTTGCCATTTCTCTGTGAGTGTCTCATTGCATCGCATATCCAGGAGATCCCGTTGAGCTTGCTGTCACTGAGTGTTAACAGCTGCTATTGCCAGAACATCAGTTAAACATCCGAGACTTGAAGGTAAATGCTTTCTAAGCCTTTACATCACCTAACACGGAATCCTCCGTGCTTTCTACAAGTGTTGCCGGCTTTCGAGGGTGGCTTGGCCTGTATACGTAAAAGGGAAAATGCTTGTAGATGCTTGAGCCACATTGTTGGGTGCAAACTCAGCTCATGTCAGCTGCATGGCTCAAATCAGTGGCGCCGAAGCTTGTAAACAGCTCAGTGTGTCTTCGGCCACATGATTGACTACTCCGGTCGTTGAAGCTCTCTGTTGTTGGTCGGCTATGGCGTCCACCACCTGGTCCACAATTAATGAAACAGCATTTTATAGAGCGCGTCAGCAACTCGCAGCTTTCAAATTGATAGCTGAGGCATATTTTGAGAGCAACACACGTTGTCCAACAAACAGCCTGGCTGTCCCCCCACACAACTTTGGCGGGAACTGAAGCAAATGGTATCATCTTGTCCAGTCGGCACACTAGTCACTGACTTTGACGGTCCGCTAGAGCGAACAGATGCTGCAATTAAGGCGACGCGTGAGCTGCTGCGTTAATCCTCTCATGTCCACTTGTAAGTATGTCGCTACTAAAATACACAAATCCTCGTCGTTTGGAGCTACAACGATTGGTGGATGCCTGGCTCCGGTCTATGGCAAAGCACGTCGTCATGCGTTTTTTCGCCTGCGAGCATGGACCTCAATAAAACAAATTGAAATCTTCTCTACATGCTTGACAAATTTTGTCATAGAAATCTATCTTGACACGACTAACTTATAGTCAGACTGACGCAATTGAGCGTCGGTGAATACATTAAATTCACCCGGCTTGTATCTCGTGCAGATTTTGTACTTCGCAAAAAACAGAAGCGATTCGACCATCTGTTGCGGCGTTTTGTATGACTGTCCGCAAAGTCGCGTAGCCTGTATGACCTACAGAAGTCTTAGAGCTCCAAAACTCTAACTTCACAAATGTATGCTTCATTACAAGCGGATCATTGTCGTGGGCATGATGGTTTCTCTTGGCAGCCTTTGTTGTACTAGACTGGAACGAGGTCACTCGTACTCGTTTCTCTTCGACTACCAGCAGTAATATGCAGCCGATGGCCCTGTCCAAAACGACACATGACGCTCAAAGACTTTGCCTCACCCGACAAAGCAAGGACAGGTGCTTGATGCAAGCTTGCCTTGGTGTTGTCAGATGCATCTTGGTGAGGTGATCCTCAACAGCACACCACGCCTTTTTTACTAGTCGGATCAGGATTGTGCCCCGCGTACCTGACACAGTGCTCGAGAAGATAGCTGACTAATTCTGACCACTCGAGCAGATTCTTCTTGGACCGGGTATAGGCCATGCACTTATACCACTTACTTTCTCAGGATCTGCACAGACCACTTGCTGCTTCCAAAACTATCGTAAGCTGCCAGTTCGTCTAAGACTGGTGCGCTTTTGCAAATGTTGTCAACGACTTTGTTGCTCCCACGACTACAACACTTGACAGAGTTGCTTCAAGTAACCGGCTGTTTACCTTCAGCTCGGCCATGGACAAATATATTGTCAGCGTTTGCAGTAAGTACGTACAAACGTAAGGGTCTAATGACTGCGATTTAGAATCGCCAAACACTTGAAAAGATCCTGTGGCATTACAATCCGCTACTGCTTACGGTACTCGCTGGATGTCGGACGTGTGCTTAGCATTTGGTACTATCTAAGTGCTAGGTCAACTACACTGTACATCGTGCACCCGGTAAATCAATTTTGGGGTACCTGGGGTCTGTTCCGGTTTGATTGCATGGGTCAGCTTGATGTAAGCAAGATCTAGTTTTTACTCGAAATTCGATATTAGAAAGATGGAGACTAGTGCGGGGATATGATACCCGTGCCGCCCTAGTCTCCGCTTTCTCGGCAAAGAGGGTATTCAACATCTCGCAATGCTCGCGAGAAAGAGGTCAATGAATTATTATGTTTCAAGATCAAATAAGTCGCCTATCTGGTGCGGGCTGATATAGCACGTCTTTTACACCCCGTTGAAGGAGGCAATTAGTAACGAATACACCAGATGGTTCAATTATCGTCTGCAGCAAGTCATCGCCGACTTGATCCACGCAAAATAGAAGGGATTTGTTAAAGGACGGTCAATCCGCCACCCCGTACGTTCCTCGCTAATTTGCAGGGAAGATGCGAACACGATGTTCTTGGACTTCCAGAAAGCATTCAATTAAGTTGACTGGCACTATTTGATCCGGCAGCTCGAGAATGGGGTTTGGCATAGCGTTTATCCGATGATCAAGCTGTCGTACACGAACCCACAAGCGCATTTACTGATCAACCGGAAACACCTGCCCGCATCACATCAGACGCGAGGCGTAAGGCGATTTGTTGTCCGCGCTGCTCTTTGTCTTGATGATCGATTCGCTCGGCAATCTGCTGAGGTCCAACGAGAAATACGGTTTGTATGTGATCGCGGACCACACAGCCACGAGCGTGTTCTTTGCAGATGACTCGACTCTGCTTGCGAGCTCGGTCGCGAACCTTCATTAGCAGCTTGAGAATGTGGATACTACTGCAAAGGCTCCGGCGCAAAGCTCAACTTGCCCAAGGCAGAACTCTCCAAGATTAATTTGAACCAAGACTGCCCTTTGCTTCCTGGCGATCAAGTTCTTGAACGCACGGAGACAGTCAAGAATCTCCGCATCCCGTTCAGACAGGCTTCGATCAACGACACGATCATCGAGTTTCTCGACCAGTGCTTCTACGACGGCTTCAAAGCGTGGTATTGGCGCGCATGCACGCTCCGTGTTTGAATTCTGGTAGCACATACGATGGTACTCTACGTCTGTGGCATTACATGCAGCATGTATCGATACCGGCACCCGGTGGAAGTCGATGCTAAATCAGTCGCAAGCACGATCGCAACGCGTCACACGTACAACTTGTCCCGCATGAGTTCGTGCGCTAACGGTGCAGTAGCGGTGGACTTGGCGTCCCAAGTCTGGACGCGCACCTCAAGCGGTAGCGTCTTGCACTGCAACTACAGTTTATGCGTGCGGCGAGTAACGCAAGCGTGTGGAAGTGGTCTTTGAGCTGCTCAGAATGGTTCTACCTCGCACCGGTCGATGCAACGCATCCGACTTCCTCACAACGTTTTGCTTCGCCATGGCGAACTGCTCAAGTGTAGCCTAATGTCGACATGATGGCGAGCGACTTGGGTTGGGTGGTACAAGACACGCTGGTAACTCACGTGGTATGACCATCCACTGGGTGCGCGTGCAGCGTTCAGTCCTCGACAGCCGATCTGGTCCCATTTAGAAACCGAACTGCAGTTCGAGCAGACTCCACGGACGCACACCAGTGCAGCACACCGCCGATGCATGGCATGGTGCCGAATTCTCAACGAAGCTTCAGGCTGCATGTGTCCAAAGTCTTCGATTGCAGACTTTGTGCGCAAAGTCAGCGCGTGGTCGATGTAGCAAGACTATGTAGTACGATACATCCATCACACTCTCGCGAGCCGACGAGCCATACATCGCTGGACCTAGAGAGGGTCGTCACAATATTTTTCCACAGACAAGAATTTATCACGGTGCTCGTCATGGACAATATCTGTATGTTGTTAGGGTAAACGATGTCTCACAGCATCGTTGTGACTTCGCAATGAGCACGCTGCTGTTCAACGTCCATGTTTGCCGCAATTGCTTCTTGAAATTACATTTCGCCAGCTGAGTCTTGTGCGTGTTGTCTCGTAGCATTAATGCTTAGTTAGAGGCATATCCGATGCTGCTCTGCTTATCGTGATTTGTCTCTTCTTGAAAAAGGAGCGACGTCCAAGCTCCAGAGTTAACGTGTGGGAATGCGACTCCTGCTATGTGATGAGGCATCATACAAATGTGGTCATCAAGTCGTCTTTAGACCGATGCCCTCAGATTCTAGCTGCTCAGCTAACGTCTTGAGCTTATTGATGCGCTCTAGCACACCGTCGCATATCATCGTCGTCAAGAATTCATGACGAAGGAATATTTTATTCTACATATGCCTCCGTGCGAAGTGTTCCTTAGGTTTTTTACATGCACTTAATGCGTCCCTAGATGAGCGAACAAGCGGTAGTTGTGAGTCGCCCATCGCAAAGACGAATCTTTGCCGGCGCCTTTTGATTCTTATGATAATCGTTGCAAATTCAGCGTGGTGAATAATTGCTCAAGCTTCATCTACCTGCTCGAAACCTTTAAAAGCGTTTGTCCAAGATCATTCGCATCTTGTGCTCTCACGCTTATTGTTCGTCCCATTAAACTTGTTGATCCCGCTCGCTGTGGCGTCCATAAAGCTATAACAGAGTTGGAGGTGGAGTGAAGAAGGCAGAAACTACGGGGATTGATCACATAACATGTTGAAAAGATTACTTGAGTAGCAGAAGGCAAAATACATGTAAACTGTATTGGTAACAACCTTCTGAGCCTGCCTTTTGCTCTACTGTATATCAACTGTACCATCATTTGGCTACTGACTTATTTAAGCCGATTAAAGAGTGTACACTGGACGCAATCATACTGGGAAATACGTAGCGGTAACCTATCGGTTCACCATTGCGGTCTAACAAACTTAGGTGGGTATAGTATTTTTTCTTCTCTTAACAGGAAATATATGCTTGATAGAATTTATACCTGTCAATAGTAGTAGAATGTTTCTCGTAATTCCTGGTCAGAATATCAATACACAAAGACGTCTGTGTATTCAGTCATGATGTTCTTCTCTTCTTCATGTATTCAATTTTACCTTTGCTCTTTTGTACATGTCATTCGATGACGTATGCGGGAGGAGTGTCAATTTCTAACAGAGATTCTGACATCAATAGATGATTGAGTGGTGTTCATACTTCCTTTACCTCCAACTATCATGTGTTAAGAGTTACTGCAATGATATAGAAACTTGGAGCTCGACACTGAGCAGTTTGCAGCTTGACAATTCGCTGCATCAATCCGACCAATGCGACTCAAATTATTGGCCTAATAAATGTACTAAAATACTTGTGCAATGTATCTGCTACTAGTCTGCTCGCCCGAATGGCTGAACATGCTATTCTGGTTGAATTTACGATCAATTTCGACCATGTCATCTACTCTGGGTCTAGTTACTTATGTAGCCCTTTCTCGTACCTAGTACAAGTAACCATGGTACTTTACCCCTAATAAAAGGGTACTCTATACCCAAGTTTTGAGCACTTTTAAAACAATCGAGCTCCTCGTTTTCTGAATCGACGGAAGAAAACTCTTACAAGCCGCGGCTTTAGAAGCTTCGACTTCTTAGTAATAGTTAACTCGATTGTGCAAAAGACTGCAAGTCTATTTATTATATAAAGACTTGTATCATCATCGTTTGATTTTATTAAGAAGAGAGCTACGTCCTTACTTAATCAAAACTATATGAACGGATGGAGATCGTACAGCTTGATAGTCAGAAGTGGAATGTGATTCTTCCTTTGCATTTGCATCGAGTTTTGGTGAAAATATGATTGAAAACCTACTGTCAACCTCCTCTATCGAAGTTGTTTGAGTCTCAGGTTTTTTTTGGAAGCCATAGACGAAGTACATGGTCCATGCAGCCACATGAAGTGCAATGACAAAGACTTGAGGCCCCGCAATGATCCAGTTTGATGTAACACGACCAAATGTAAACCATCCAAGCGTATTAAATGTCGTAACAGCTAATGAACGTGGAACGAGCGTCGCAGCTGATCGCTGCTTGAATGCACGGATAAGAGTTCGAAGCATAATCATGTGACTCGTAATCACAGTGACATCGCAAAAGCACAAACCTTGTGTTTTCCAAATCTCGTTGCGAGTTTGACCTGTAAAGCCCAGACTAGCAGCAGTTACATAGAGCGTTGGAACTGTAAGCCAAGCAAACATAAGGCCAATTTTCTCCGCCACTTGAGCTCTTTGTTGTGAATAGCGCCAGAAAATAAAGAGATAGCATAATGAAACGAGATCACCAATAAGAAAAACGGGAAAACTTGGAAACCACGTTCGACCCAAATAGCCATAAAGCATCCAGACATGTGAATTTGCGAGAACTAAAAAGATGGGAACAATCGATGCTGAACCAACGGTACGTTCGCGGTAAATACGACGGACAAAGAGCGATGGCATGTAGATCATTAGCAGTGTGCTACACCAGATCCAGATGCGAACCGCCATAACGACATTAGTGTGAACCATAAGGATACGATATAGTGCAATGAAGTAAAGGAGGTGACGAGTTATGCGCAAATCGAACAATGCAGACTTTATCGTGCTTTCGTCGAGTGCGACATAATTTCGATACTTGATACGCTTGATAACATGAGGTTATGAGTCATCTCAAATGTCCGACATACTTTCATACTTAATACTATGTGAAAGCTGTTAAGTTGCAAACAATGGGTTTGAAAGGGATCAAGTATTTTTGCTGACTCATCAAACTGAATGGTTGGCAGGAGAATGGCGTTGTTGAATTAGCTTGAGCACTTGTAGCGATCAATAGTAAATGAAGCTTTAGTTCGAGCCGGTAAGGTTGGCTACAATCATGCCCTGGCTTTGCAGACTACAAATAGTTGAATTGTAGGCGTTGTGATCATATTTTTGGTGCCGCAAGACGGACACGCTGTACATGGAGCATACTGTAAGATCAAGTCGGTCAGAACTTTAAGAAGCTCAATGTGCAAAAGACAGAAGGTTGAAAGATGTCGAATGCATGAAAATACTTTCAATTGACTGGATAAGGTCAAAGAGGTGATAGCCGAAGGCTAAACGTTTGTTAACAACATCACGAGCTGAACTTTTGTGTCATAAGAATGATGTTATTGCTCATGTAAAGGATGCATGTAGTTGCTGTGAAACCAGATGACGTTCCATAACCTCTTGAAGTAGCATTCAGTAGTTGATTCAGATCATTTTTTCATTCTTCGAATCAAGCGGCTCTTAAATTTCGTTGCTTTGTTCCGGCTCACCAAGTCGAAGTCCTAACTTTAAGAATTGATTTTGTTCAATTATAAAACTAAACCTATAACTGAAGTTCATATATATTGTGCTTATATCCAGTAATGTCGTCATAACGATGTTCAAGGAGCTAATTAAGACGCAAAGTCGAGCTGGAGAGAGATAATTCCGTATCTACGTTGTGTACATATGAATAAAGTACTTGTAAAAGCAAACTGGGTATATTATCTGAGCTGACAATCTTATCGTAACACTGAGCACTTCTATAGATTCTAATCTCAAGATCCAAACTAATCATTTCGATCACTTTGGCCACTTCCACTCCGCTTCTTCACTGAAGTGGTATAATCTGATGGATTTGTGTGTTGATCTGTATCATTTGCTTTGGTTCGCACGGGTGCACCGTATGCAAATTGACGAAGCTCAGTTCGTGAAGTAGGATGAAAGTCTAGATTGTCTTCTTCATCGTCTAAAGCAAATTCGTCCAGATCATCTTCATGTACTGGTACTTCAAGATACGGATTAGTGGGTAATGGGCGAAAGCGATAACCAGTAATGGTAAAGAAACAAAGTGCAGCCAGCTCAGTAAATGCCACAGCAACCCACGTTGCATCGTATGGTAAACTCATGTCCAATAATTGATAGATCAGCCTTGATATGTAAATGTAGCAAATGACGGCGCTATAAAACGATCGAAATTGCGTAAGTTTCTGAAGAGTAGCAAATGCATTTCCATCAGTTGCCGCAGACACTCGTAGTTGACGAATAGACCATATAAGTGGCATTAACACTGCAAGACTGCACGCGAGATCGGCAAATACCAAAAGGTCTCGCCAGCTCATCCAAGCACGTGTGCCAATTGGGGTTTCATACTCGAATATTTGAGCAATGTTACTCAAAATCTGTAACCCCAAAACGAGAGAAAGTATCGACTTGTCTTTTTGAGACAAATGCGGCTTTAAAAGTGTCCACCCTGTGCCAATGAGCATGACAATTGAAAACAGTAATAATCCTTTTAAACTCATGAATGTGTAAACCACTGGAGTCCAAGCTGTGAGTGTGTCACCGTGACATTTCATATAGTACACGCGCATAGCTTCAGCAAAGAGCAAAAGGGTCTTTACAGTCACCAAAAGTGCCATCAACCAATGCATTCGCAATACAAATGCTCGATGCTTCACAAGACACTTAATCCATCCGATCGTCGCACCTAAGAAGAGAAAACTTGTTGTCAAGTACACAAATGGCAAATATGCGTCACCCGCGGATAAAAAATTTGATTCTCCATTCAGTAATTGTGCATTCATCTAAAACAATATATAGATATAGAATTAGAAAATGATCAGATGGGTAGTAATTCAAGCTTACGTTAAACGATACTTGGAGTCCAGGAGTGCATTGCACGTAAAAAATGTAATAGAAGCCCATGCGTAAAGATCTTTCTTGAACTTCATCTTGTTGCTTATCCAGCGAAGAGTTTACACTTCGACTCACATTCCTAAATCAACGTGGACCATGATTTAATGAATTAAACAGAACTAAAATAAGTCACAATAACCTACCATGTTCCTGAATCTAATAGATTAATCCATTGATTCTCTCGTTGCATCACCAACATGCACTGGCTTCCTTTATCATCAGTTGGATAATATTGAAGGTCTTCACTGTCAAAATTATCATCGAGAATTGCAATGGTCTCCCACACTTCATCCTCATGTACAAATAGTAGCCCAGCGTGTACATCATCGTTGTTGGGCCTCTTGATCTTTACTGCAGATACACTTACATTCATTTGGCCTTGAGGGCCAAAGCCAAATCTTTCAATCAGAAAGTTTGAGCGAATTTCGCTCTCAAAAACCCATGTCTGCTTCATAGCCGACGTATCTGATAGTCCTATTAACGCTACCACGACTTGGAGGAGGGTACTGGAATTAAATGATACTAAACGGGCTATTTCTGTAATTAATTTGAACTTAAAGAATTTCAAAAATTTTAAAAGTACAAAAACTCTCCAAAGCGTCCCTAAAGAAATTACCGAATTGAAACGCGGAAAAATATTATTTTTTGCTTCGCTCTGTCATCCCAAATATATCATTCACCAGTTACTGGCTATCACTTGCTGACACTCTGAACTCTTTTGGAATTCGTTTCACCTCTTCTAAAAGGTCCTCAAGTACAGAAATCATGAGTCTTTGCTGCATCTTGAAGTCATTCAAATTATCTACGAGTAGCTGCATATGCTCGACCGAATAGCGCTGAGATAGAAGGTGGTCATCTTGCTCGAGGTGTGTCTCGTTGCCACGAAGCCAGTCCCACAATCGAGGCGCTGCAGAACGCATGCACCAACCCAAAACATTTTTTGCAACGTCGAGGACAAATGCAGTTGCGGATGGTTTAAGATCGTTTGATTGCGTGGTGGATAGCTGCATCTCTGCAAGCAAAGACAATTGCCTAATGATGGCAAGGTGAAAACTATACAAGTGGATGAGATGTAGATCCGGTCTGGCGTGTGGTAAGCGCCTCCAGAAGTCGAGTGAGTCTTTCACTTCAACATCAACTTCGTACTGTTGCCGCATGTCTGAAGACAAACGACAATTTCGGGCTTGACAAATTTTGCGCAGTTGCAGCTCCTATCAGAATCGAGTATCTTGAGCAGTGAGCTGAATTGTAATCAAACAAAAGACATTTCTTTGCTGAATCAATGTACGTTGAAGAAATTGTATGTCATGTAGAAGGACCGTGCTTCTTTGGCTGACTTATCTCTCCACACCTGTGATGCTCCACATTCTTGCTTCTATTTATCGTACACAGAGATGTTTTGTAGTCCAACATCATACATGACAAAGACATTACCTCTTACAAACTTTTCATATCAACTCTCAATCTATCAAACATTTTCAAAGCAATCTTCAGACCAAAAAGCTGTACAAATAAACTTGCTTATTTCGAGAGTGTGTGTCTCCTTCCGTATGACATCTAGGCGCGTTGCCTAGTCCTTATCTCTCGTAGCATTGTCAAGGTTCCACCAGTTTCCTCAACGTTATGACGAGATTTATGATAGCCGACAATTTATTTCAAGTACATTGGCATATCATTCGGTATAAATCATGAGCGATGGTACTTTGCGTCCACCATGATGATGAGGATTCATCTAAGCCAGCACCTAGTCTACTATTTATCAGCCGTCCAGTAATATAGATAAACCAAGTCCTACTTTTCGTGATTATGATCTTGGTACGATGCGAATGAAGGCGGTATCGGCACTCTGGCGACGTTGTAATGATAAGAGCTTTCAGCGTCATAAGTAAACTTAACCACGCATTCTCGTATGTTCGAATATACATTCTTGGCGTGTGCTGTAGTACTGTGGCACCCTTGACAAAGTTTAATGGATCATAGTGTTGAGACTGCAATAACAAACAATCATAGAAAGGCATAAGGGTCCAAGAGCATCACTTTCATGTTGTCTGCCTTTTACAATCTAAAATTTACAAAAAGTATCAATACCATTTCCATCGACTACCTGATTGCCGATACGCCAAGGACGTCCAGTTTATGCATACCCAGAAATCTGCCAAACGTAAAGACTGCTACGACTCAAACGCCCAAGCATTTTTCTCAAGAAAATCTTGTATAGCAGCTTTTAAAGACGGATTTGGTCGGAGCATATCAAGTGTCAACTTTCTCCGCGTCAGCGGATCAATCGCGCCATTTCGGCGCAAGTGTTCTTCCAGGCATTGCCGTTCATATCTATAAACAAGCATTTATAATAAATATGCAAAATAAAGTAAGAAAGCGTTGCACATGTACGTACGAGACACCATTCGGAGTTGTGACGGGATCGTGCATAATTTCCATGCTAATGGGACATACCAAGTAATCGGGCACGTGTCCAGGATACATGTCTTTTTCGTAACAAATGGCCATGTGGTCCACGTACGCCATCAGTGCATCGACTTCATCAACATCTGAGCTGCTGTCTTCACTGTCTTTCTGAGCAAAAATTTCGGCTGTGTGTTTGGCTCCAAAAAGCAACTGCAGATGAGCTTTAACTTTCTCATGCCGCATCACGCGTTGTTTCTGAAGGTTCAGCCACTGTCTCTTTTTCACCCGTCGAAGCTCAATAAAAATTTCATCCAGAAAAGCTTTGGGTTTCTTTGTTTTTTCAGCACTAATATGTGCCGTCTGAAGCGCTTTAATCGCCGCGTCATAAGCCAAAAGATGCATAAGACTCGTACCCAGCATGTAACTGGCTTTGGCATTCAATTTGTCAAATTTGAGCGCAAGTTCACAATCAGCGCGGCAATTCTCCCATTTATCTAGCTTAGAATGACAAAGCGCACGATTCGAGTAATACGTTGAGCGATCTGGAGCCATCACCTGAAAAATGAGGTTTAGAAAAAGAATCTACCGGAAATAACTGGCTAAGAATGATGAACGTACAATGGCCTCTGTATACATGTCAATAGCCGCAAGAAACTTTCCTTTCTGAAAGTAGAGATTGCCCTGAAGCTTGAGCTGCTCGGCGCGGTCTGCCATGACAACAGAGTGATTGTAGTGTAAATTGAACTGATTGTGTAATGGCAATTTTTGGCACTGACTCGCATCGGAAATAGCTTACTTTTCGAATCTGATTTGCAAAACAAGTGATCACAATTTTCGTAGAAAATCAATATAAATCCGCAATATTTACCATAAGAATGTAAACATTGTTTTTTCTACAAAGTCAACTGTGTGGTCAGTGCGGTCCTAAGCGTGTGTTTGGAGAATGCGAGATCAATGTATTCGATAAATGCTGTTAAATGCCGGATGTACATTGATCTCGAACAAGAGAGAGAAACTTTCTGCTATCTTGATTCCTCGCATATCGCACTTGGTCGCCAATCTATTACTGGCTCTTTGATTACGGCGCTTAGGAGTTTCAGACTCTTGGATTATTTATACAGTAGACTTTACATCGTTGAAGGCAAGAACTTCAGAACGACGTAGTGAACACAATGATGCATTTCCCTTAATGTAAGCACGATTTCTTCAGCATGAGACCATTCACAGCTTGACGAAAGCATAAGCATACGAGAGTTGTCAGACTAAGCAAATTTCATAATTTGCTTAGTCTTACTAAACTTAATTGCAAAATCGACCAAAAGCAATATAATTTGATGAAGATATTTAACGTCAGCATTGCTAATTTCTTGATACAGGAGCAAAAGACCAGTGACAGTCTTGGATTATTATTTTTAAGTGCCTTCTGTTATTGTGATTAAAAGATTCTAAATCTAAAATACGATCAACTGCAGAGGTGAGGTTGACATTTGTTGCTAATACCGACCTGAACTGTTCGCCCCAATCGAAGGATGCACAAGCTGAAGAAATTCCTGTAAATGACTCACCTTCGTAGCATTATACTGAAAGGTTGAAGACGATAGTTCATATAACGAACTTCCGGCTGGTGTCGATCGTTAAGTTATAAAAAATATGAAGTTGAAGTTGATAGTCAAAACATGACTAGCGTAGGTTCTTCAAGTGAGACCAAAACGCTACTATAAGCACCTCACCTTATCGAAAAAGCTACATATGCAGAAGGACATGGCCAAATGTATAGGTGTTTAAAACCATTGACCAACAAGGCGTCCGAGTGTTCGTGCTGCCGTGATGGTTAATTCAATGCCACGACTAGCAGCACTGCCATCAATTGCAAGTCGCACGCTGTTCACCAAACGATTTCCTTGATTAAAACAGCAAATTTATTGACTTCTGACCGCAGGGTGTTAGCAACGCTTGTTTTTGTGGTAGCAACTCGCCAACGCGAGAAATCAAGCCGTAACTCGGACTTATGATTAGCAGCACTAATGGTATCGCTTCACAACTCCTGTAGCTCTTTAAAACCACACTGCTGATTGTAAAACGTCGATCATTATTTCCTAAAACGTAACGTTTGTGTGCATGGACTCGGTGTCGCCAGCGTCTCCTCCTCCAGGATAAATCTTCGATCGATTTACTGGACCGTTCGTCACATAATAAGAATTTTGAATAGTCGATTTGATTCATTTCAAATAAATTCAGATCTAATGTTGATCTTTAATTTGAATGGAGCTAAAATCTAACTCATTTATAATTTTCCAGTTTTTAGTCCTTGAAACGCAAATGATACCTTTTTGCTTCTGCTATGCTAATTGGCTGGTAAAAAGATGCGACTAACTCGTCATGCTTCTAAGCAGTTTTCTCAAATGATTTGGAGTTTCACCATGAGAGGTTCTCGCTGTGCGACGTCTAGTATATCGTTCGTAGTCTCATGTCGTTTATGTGCGGGTCCTACATCACAGTCTATATATTAAAAATTATGTCTTTCAAATTAATTTGAGTATTAACGAATAAAATTGCACATTTTTATTGATTTTCTCCAATCAAAATACAAACAATGAATAGCTTTTGGACTTCTGGTTTTCGACGAACGTAAGCGTTTGAAACGAAGTGTTTCAAATGTGTGAGACTTTAGAACGTCCCCGTTACCAAAGTATCATTGTAGCGAGCATGACAAGATGAAGTAGTCAATGGTTTCAGTTCCGAGCCAGTACAATAACATGTGGAGATATGCACTTGATTGTTACTAAATGAACATAAAGAAAGTGGTTTATACTTTCTATTCTACTGTTTCAACATGGCAGAGCATCTTATTGTTTTAAAAGATAAAACGTGAGTGCTTGTGATTTATGCGTGGAAATTGTAACGAGTACTTGCAACCTACTCGTGACTTTGAAACTCCAACATATTTAGGTCGAAACGATACTCAACAGAATGGGCAGACAGCTTACTTGTGGTTTGATTGCGTTCTTGTGGCAAGTTTGAGGGTTTTCTTCCTGTAGTAGTATCGGTGATGAAAGTTGAACCACCGTAGCAGAGCCACGTGCTGGCTACCTTCAGTAGTGATCTCTGTGAAACCTTAAAGGTTCTGCGTAACAAAACATTGGCGGTTATACACGATAACGGCCGTCTCATAGAAATAAAGTAGCCTCTCTTTCCGACTGCTCATGGGTAAAGTCTGGATCTAATCAACTGGAAGCATCGTACATAAATCACTTTCGATTTACCTATTTGTAGCTCACTAAAGCGTCAAAGCAAGAGATTCCAAGTCACAACGATGACCCACGCTATGCCTTCGACGATTGACTGGCGAGCTAATACGGAAGATACCGACTATGCATTCATGCTCTTTCATCCCGATACAGAGACAGACACTAGTACTAATCCATATGAAGAGGCACAGACTCTCTACACAACAACAAATGTACACCCAACACTTTGTACGACTATCAATCAAGCACTAAGTGACGAAGAGATGTTGGATGAAATTTTCCAAGAAATTATGTCTCCAGGGCCACACGACCATGAAATTAGTCAAAAAGGCTTTGATATGGCACTTTTTAGTCCCGTAGCTTCCACTCCGTCCACACCAGAGCTTTCGAGTCCACAACGTCGTGAGTGTCTTTCATCTTCATCACTTGGATCCATGTCTCCGAATTTGGCTGCTCCATTACGAATGACGTCCATGCCTGTTACTTCAGGACACAACCGCAACAATGTTTTTTTTCCTTTGCTTCACGATCCTAAAGTGCGTCTCAATACAAATTACAATGTCCATCCTACTTCAATGCTATTTGTCTCGCCAACTGCTGCTGCTCGTCGAAGTTACCGCCGAATGTCGCGCTTACAAAAGAAAAAACCAGCATCTCGTATTTGTCGAATGCCTGGGTGTACAAAGGGCATTCGATCCCGTGGATTGTGCAAAGCTCACGGTGGAGGTCGAAGATGTACAACACCAGGGTGCGAGATTAGCGACCAAGGTGGAGGTCACTGTATTGCTCATGGTGGTGGCCGTCGATGCTCTGTAGGAGGGTGTCAAAAGTCAGCCCAATCAAAGGGTCTATGTAAATTACATGGAGGTGCTCGATTATGTCGTTTGCCTGATTGCAGCAAGAATGGGCAGATTAAAGGACTCTGTCGACTTCATTATAGTCTTTCCATGGCAACAAAAACGTCGGCAAAGGCTAGTGTACCCATGGTACTTGACCTCGACCCACCGACCACATGTAATCCATGCGACACATTTGACTTACGAATTCAACAATGCTTGGCTAGCATTCCTCTATAATCTGTAGCTTTCTTCCCATGTTATATAGCTGTAAATACCATAGATTTTCCATTTTTCTTTATCTTAAGCAGTTGGATCGTGTACCTGAATGAAAAGGCGCTAAGTTCTTGATAGCAAAGGACAGTATAGTATCAACTTTTGAACAGATAGCAACGACTTTGTTTTATAAGGTTCAAAGAGAGTCTCTTGATGTGAATGAAAGGAGCTACATCTTCTTCTTCATTCATGGTTTCGATTAAGTACTTTAGCATGATATATACATGAGTAGGACCCGCATACTCTCGAGGATCCATCCATTCAAAGGATTTCTTGACTTGAAATTTCTTAGCGATATAAGATACGCACTCATTTACGTTTCGGACTCTGCTGTTACTTTTGCTGATACAAAAAGCGCATGTTTCATAACTCGGTGTCTAAATGATAGAAATGACATCACTGGCGTTTTTAGATCTTAAATGATTTGTCACCTAATCAAAAGGTAGCAAAATAACACTGTAACCTTTGATATTCATTTATTATAATATAACTAACAAGAAAAACCTTTGGTTACGTGTACTAACTGTACGAACAGATCATCTACATACTTTTTACGTACGTACAAGTAGGATGGATCCGACTGGTACAACTTGTTAAAAAGGGACAATGAAACAAAAAATAAACCGTATAATTTACGTTTCAGGTAGTGGTACATGCGTACCAGTGGGTACAGGTAGGTACGAAGCTTCAGAATCCAGCGTTTTGATCATAACGATCAAGACAGCAATCACAACGTAGCAGCATAAATGATATGATGACGACAGCAGATTTATCAAAATCCAAGCGTTACAAAGTAAATCTATTGGTTCTGTAGCTATGATCGTTTTTGCTGAAAATTTTCGTAGCAGAAAAGAGTTGGAGAAACATTGAATCAAATTAAAGTCATTTTCACACTATGAAATACTTTCAACCTCTTCCATCTTTGTTAAAATCCACCTAAAACTCCATTCAATGCATTAAAACTTCGTCGTTCGTGTTTCATGTGTCCAATTCCAATACTTTGTCTTCCACTTCCAACCATCATCATCTTACTATTTCCCATTTGATCCAAATCATTACGTTTTTCATAAAAGAAAACGTCATTAATCACACGATCTAAAGCAGCGTAGATATGAGTTGGTACAGCAATTGTTGAAACTTTTTCAAACAATGCTTGCTCGGATACTTGAGTGTGCCATATTGTTTGGTACATAATATTATGTTGCAATAATGGAAGTACCACATCCATTTCAGCTGTCAATAATTGTGGTGCCAATAATTCATGAATAGCCATAGCAATACGAAAGAGAAAGATTGTTCCATCAAGTAAGAAATTATCAAATACACGTGCTGCTGATTCAAGTGGTAACACTTGAAGAAATAATGTTTGAAGCCAATTCATTAAATACATTGAACATGAAGAAATTCCAATGTTTCGAAAATGGACCAATAATTGGGAACATCGAATTTCTAAAAATGCTTCAAAAAGTGTATAGTAGACACTTGCCAATTCAGCATCTAATAAGTAAAACGTAAATAAATGTTCGTGTACCATTAAATTAGCCAAACATTGAAAAGCAAGGTACCGATCTTGTGGCATATGAAGACATAACATTGCGGCTAAGTACGACATACCTTGAATGTACCCAAGATCAGGTCGAAAACAAGCATACGTTTCCAAAACTTCTAATAACAAAGTATAGTAAGGACCTGAAGCATCAAAGAGTTTTAATGATGGAAAGGTACGTGGTAAATCCGTATCAATTAATGCCAATGTATGTTCACGTCCACCATCATAGATTTGACTTTCTTCACTTCCATGTCGATCTTTTTTATATGCAATTGCACGTCGTCGATACATTTGAAACATTTCTGGTGTCACTTTTAATTGATTTCCAATTGCTAATGGCCACACACGTGCTCGAATTGATGGTGGAATGCCTTGACGCCAAAGTGCATGAGTTAATGCTGAATTTTTATTTGCTTCCCAATTTCGTAAGATTCGTGTACGCCACATTTTTTTCACACGTCGTAATTCTTCTTCTTTTTCATGAATACTATCACGAGGAAGACGTAAAGATGAGAAATGAGTGGTTTCAAGTGAATGAGAAGCTAAAACATGATCTTTTGCTAGACCTTGTAGTTTGACATGCGATTGATTCAAAGCAAGTTCGAGAGCAAAAGTGTATTTATGACCACACGCTACAACAAGATCATGATTGGCGGAAAAACAATCCAAGCGCTCTGGTTGGTCTTTATTCGTTGTATGCCCTAATCCACAAGCACCATAAAGATTTAAACCCCATGTAAACATAACGTGATGTTCGGTAGTCGCAATAGAATGAAATGCTCCACAATAAACACGAGCTAATGGATCAGAAACATCTATAGAATAATGCACTTGGGCTGGAATAGGCTCATAAACATTCCCTGTACCCAATTGCCCATATTCCCCTAATCCCCATGAATACATTGTACCATTTGCCGTTAATACAAGGGTATGGGTGTACCCACATGCCACATCAAGAATTGGCACATCAGAATTTGTACCAAATTTTACAATAGCAGGTACCACTTGGTCTTGATCAACATACCCTATTCCACATTGTCCTTCGCCAGTTTTACCCCAAGTACATAATGTTCCATTTTGACCAATCGCTGTCGTAAAATTCCACCCACATGCCACTTGTACCACTCGCATATGCAATGGAAAAGTCATTATTTCATGTGGTACATCTCGCCATTTTGTATCCCCAAGCCCTAATCGACCATTTCGACCTCTTCCAAATGAAAATACCGACCCTTTTTCAGTTAAAACAACGGTATGTGCTCCACCACAACTTGCACTTACAACATTTTGACGTAATAATGTCATCACTTTTCGTGGGACTGTCCGATCGCGCATGTCACCGTGTCCTAATCTTCCATCTTCGCCACTTCCCCATGTATATAATTCGCCACAATTTGTGATTGCGACAGAATGTTGAGCTCCACATGCAATTTGAGCAATTGTAACCCCATAAAGTGCTTTTTCTAATGCTAATTCTTCGACTAATTGTGGTGTTAAATATGAGAGCGAAGAATTGGGCACATTTGCTTCGGGGTCGGGTAGGGTTGTGGAAAGAGCCATTTTGCGAACTTCATCGTTACCAAATGTGTAGACATCTCCTGTACTTGTGAGATATAATAAATGCTCTCCACCACAAGCTATTTGTATCAATGGCTGATTAGGTAAAACAGCTACTTGTTTTGGACGTAAAATCAGCGGTGTACCACTTTCGAGACTTGGTGGACGACCCCAAACCCAAAGACGTGATTGTGGGGTACCTTCATTCTTTATTTTACAATCAATTTCAGTTGCATCCTTTTGAGTCTTTTGCATTGTCATCTCTTCATTTGGCAATTGAGAATGATGATCAAGTGTTCTTGTAGAGAGTGTTGGCATCGATTTGCTTCGAGGTCGTGGTACAGTTGTCACATCATGTAACTTTTGGTGTATTGTACGTAACATTCTGGTTTGAAATGCCACGAATGCTGTTAAACTTTGATGTACATCCACATGCACTTTATCGTGCAACAATTTGCGTTCTTGTTGCACACGTCGAGTCGTTGCCACTGTGTCATGTTGCACATGTTCGTGGCGAGTCCAGAATGAATGTTTAATCTCGGGTAATACATCGTGACGCAACTTTTCCAATGGAGGCAACACTTCCATATCACATGTGTTTGCAAATGCAAGTTGCATAAGATCAAGAGTATTTGTCATTTCTTGTTGCAATCGTGTGATAATCGAGTCTTTTGTTCCAAGTTGTGGCACGTCTGCCACTCGCTTGTATTCATCAAATACTGCACTTGTTGCTTCCCACCATGCCACTGTTGCATGTTTATATGCACGAACACTATGCCACAAAGCACCAACATTCCCTTCAATTTGCAATACTTCATTTCGAAATGATGTCGAGAGATCATCACTCTCAACATCAGATCCATCACTCTCGAGTAACCCCATGTCGTCACTATCGGTTATACTATCATGATCTGTTACCTCTTGTATAGGTTGAGCCCAATTCGGAATGTCACCTGTAACAGGTTTTGGGGGTCGATTACGATGATGCACAACAAAGTCACAAAATAGTTGCATGTCCAATCCTGCTCTTGAGTTTGTGGCATGATGCAACCCTGTTGCATGTTGCATGGATAAATGCACCATCACTGCATGTAAAAAACCTTTTAAACCTTCAAAACGTTGTTGTAGTTGCATATCAGTAAGAGGGTAAAGTTGCATGGCATACTTAGGTGGTAACCCCACAGGCGGATGAAAGTGCAACTTAGTAGCTAAAGATGCAATTTGAGAGTACCGACGGTACACAAGAAAATGAGACGTTGTCGTATTAACTTGTAACACATACGCAAGAAATGACTTGCGATCTTCCTTGTATCGTGCTTGATAAAACCCAAGCATTTGTACGTTCGTGAGCTGCCCAAACGTGATGCTGCCGCCCATGGTAAGATTCAAGTGAGAAAGTTAAGTTTCTGCCAATGAATGCACTTTAGGATGAATTACAGTATTTCAGTACATTACATGAGTTTTGTATACACTATACCAATAGATATTTTGTATACAATATTACATAAGTTTCGATCTTAGAAATTTAATGTACTAAATACCGGGATAAACTGTTAATTCATCAAGCAAACGTTCGTTTCTAAAAACATAAACGTTTTTGATAGAAGATTACTACGTTTCTAAAGTAATGCAGCATCAAGAAAAATCAGTCGCGAAGTGTTTGCAGCGCTGAACGTGCATTGCAACGACACATTTCGGTCTATCGAAAGGTTTTGATTCGTGTAGCAATTCCAAAATTAAACAAGAACGAGATCTAATGAAGAAAACGGCTAAGAATCAGAACTTTACCAACCTATCCGTTTTCGCTTCTTTGGCTAATTATACAGAATTTGTTCTTGTGTTCGACATCCGTTTTTAGCTTTAAAGTCATCATTTAAATAGTTAAGTAGCACATTAGAAATTGTTATTACCTTCAAGATGGTTCGACCAAGCTCGTACGATAGTGCGCTGGACGTCTATGAGCGCAAAAGTCAATGGCGAGGGCATCGTGCTCGTGTGAATGGAATCCAGTCATCTCACTCAGTCTCACCTTTTGCTTTTTTTTCTGCTTTAGCAACTTCTGCTCATCCTAATCGCATCCACACTAACAATCAATCTACGCCTGCTTCTTACAATCAGAAACACGATATTCAGAAACATCTCGCTTTGATCCAAACACTTTTAGTACAACCTACATTTGATTCGAATCAAAATGAAAAAAACACAATTGTCGTCTCAAAATTTAATCATCCACTCACTCGATCAAGTCATGCGCTTTATACTCGACACTCGGCGACAGTTAAGAATAATTTTGTCGAGTTTAATGCATCTACAATGCAATATACAACAGATGCTACATCCGCTGGAATTCGAGTGCGAGCACGTCGTCACACAACGATTAGAAATGAAAATATGAAATTGAAGACTCGAATACTTAACACTCAAGCAACAATTGATCCCATTGTACTTAAGCGTCATGAAGAAAACCATTTGGCAATGCGAAGGATTCGATCTCGACATCAAATTAAGAAAAAAAGTAGCAGGTTTTAATTTTTTTTTCCTTTTGTTTATATTCATTTTGATAGTAAGTAAATCTCGAATTAATTTTTCAAAATGTAATGCAAAACAAATTATAAAGTATCACAATATTTTTATTACCCCTACTCTTCAAGTAAAAAAAAAACTATCTTACAGCTCCACACCACCATCCCAATCACTACTTTGCATTCGTTGAAAAGTCAAATTTACCGGTAATTGAGCCATCAATTTTGTGAAAAAAGTCGTCAAAACCAAACCCGACCCCTCTAACCCCAAATCGGAAACATCAGTCTCACCAACTCGAATTAACACGTCACCTACCCGCACGTGCTCAAAATTAGGACATGTGCTACGTTCCGTATTAAGTAGCATCCGAAGAAACCATTGAGATTCGTCTTCAAATTCAAACTCATTTTTTGGGTACACTTGTTGCACAGAGAATGCAAATTCACCTTTTGTCCACTGAATGTGATAGAAACTTGTGGAATCCAATAGAAACGTTGAAGAACCACATGAAAGTTCCGACAAGACACCAATTGAAGGTGGTAAATGATGTTTTAAATCCATCGGAGCACGCGTACGTGACCGTCGAACGTAATTTTCAGCTGAAATTGATGAAGACAAATGTTCATGACGTTGAAGAGACGATTTAGAAACACGAACATTTGAGTTGAATGTCTTGTCTTTTGATGACAACACAACCTCTGAACTTGAACTGCTTGTACGACCGAGAGCATAAAGTGCCAAGTCTTTTGTTGTCAAATGAGACGTCGAATCATTTCTTTGAGCTTGATTCTGTTTTCTGTCATTGTCAGAAACTGTAGTTTCATCCACCTTTTCTTTGACCAATTTCGCATATTCTGACGATGACAAGAATTCAGCATCACTATCAAATTCATAACTATCGTCGGTATCGTATGTTGATGTATCATCCGCTTCGTGCACTTCTTCAATTGATGTTCCTGTTTTTGTCAATTGAACCGTTTCGGGTGTATTTTGAAATTGAGGTACCACTTTTGGATCATGATTTTGTCGTCGTGGTACCACATCTTCCAATGCTGAAACTTTTATGTCCGATGTGGGTGGTGGAACTGTACCCACATTTCGTCGTACAGATGATGTTAACGTTTCTACCACTTTTTGATACGCTGAAGGTTTAATTGCTGAATTAGGTGGATTTTCACGTGCCACAATATGGCGAGTAGCTGTGGTAATTGGAGAAGTCACATGCAATTGAGAAGTGGCACGTTGCATGTGGCGTAACTCGCGATCTTGAACTTGCTGGTACCTTCGTTGCCTCACGTCTTGCAACTTACGGTCTTTTTGATTCGAATGTGAATTCTGATTCTGCAAGTCTTGAAAACGGACACGAGATGTAGGAGGACGAGCAACTTCGGAACGCAAGGCTGAACGTGGTTGTTCACATCGTCTGTGCTTCTCTTGTGATTCCATCGATAGAATACGCGAAGTTGAGTACACAAGAAATGGTGTTGCTAAAGGTGGCGGTCCACCATTTAGTGGATCAGTGTCCACATGTGCGAATTTTGACTTGCTTTTGTATTGAGGAGACAAATGTTTTGAAGAATGATGGTTTGAACCTTGAGAAGAACGAGAAGTTGCGATTCCAACACTTTTCACAGGGACTGCATGTTTCTCCGTATTAGACGATGAAATGTACCCACTACAAGTGCTTGATGGTGTTCGTGCAAGACGACGCTGTGCACGTTCGAGCTTGGAGCGAATTTGATTTAACATCTCACGCTCAGCGGTGAGTGGACCATCATGTGGACCATGTGGATGATGGTGCGTGGGTACAATCTGAGTCCGATTGCTGTGTTGCGAGTACATGACGTTGAGATTATGAAAATGGAAGTTTGCTGAATGAAGCGAGTGGCCATGCAATTTGCGTCTCTGCCACAAGCAACATTGGCAAAGGGGTCGGGACAAGTAGTGTCGCGTGATATTACTTAAATTTTGTATAAGTACAGGTTAGGGGTACCAGGTGCAACGGTTTAGGTGTAGCCATGTTGTTGCATCACTCGACGGTTTGTTTCTTTCATTTTTTTAGTGGAAGACATGGGAAGACTAATTCTTCAAAGTGAGTAAATGTAACTTTACCAGATTTTAAAGGTATTAAGGTTTAAAATCATTTACACCACAACAATCCCATATTTCATCAACAATTTCAAAAGGAAATCAAAACATACAGTTTGCACCTATTGCTTTTCACACGTCGCATGAAAAGGGTACGATGGCCTCATCAAAAAAACCGACCAAAGTCTAACCTTTCATTCACTTTCACTCATTTCTTCGTCACTACTTTCACTCATTTCTTCTTCACTACTTTCACTCATTTCTTCACTTTCACTTGTTCGTTTATCTTGATCCAATGCTCTTTGTATCTTTGCTTCAAATTCTCCTTCTTTCGCTTGCATTCGACTAACAGCAACTGTCTTACTCCGACGTGAAGATAATTCACGTCTTGTTGTAATTTCTTCCATTTCGTCACTTTCACTCTCTGATTCCGAAGAAAGAAATCGTAAATTCCGTCGTTTCTTCTCGCGCTCTTGTTTTTTAAGCCACTTTTCATACTCTTGACTTGCTTTAATTAAACTTTTCGACAATATCTCTTCACGTTCTTTAACTAAAGTATGAGCCCACGCTTGATCTTGAGCTTGTACATTGTTTTCATCTTCAGTTTCGTTCGTCAGATTCGCACTCACACGTTTAAGTGTCGCTTCAGCACTTCGTAATAATCCTTTTTGAGAATCGAAAGATTTCGACGTGATCTCATGTAAAAGATACAAAAACAACGCAGCTGAACGTCGTTCAGCCATAGAAACATCGATATACGCAAGAATTTTAAGCAAAGCTTTCTCACGAATTGTTACAATATCTTGTCGAATCGACGTCTGAATCACAACGTTTTCTAACGCCAGTATTTCCAAACAAATCGTTATTCCAATCCGATTATGATGTGCACACTCTCGTTTCATTACTTCATGTCCTTTATGTTCTTCTTGAGCATCGTGACTTAATAAATGCATCACATACTTTGCACAAGCACTCAAATCGAGCATTAATTCGTTCTCAATTTCCCATTTCTCCATCGATTTTTGAATTAAATGCGTTGCAGCTTCTTCTAACAGCATACAATTTGCTGGTGTCGCGAGTACAAAAGCTGGAAAAAAAATACTTAAGAGCTGAAGTGAGCGTGATTGAAAACCATGTTCACGCTGTTGTTGCATCTTTTGTAGCTCAGGACTAAAGTATGTTTCGAGTAGAATAGCCAAGACAGTAATACTATCAATTCGATTCATCATGAAGAGACGACAAAAACCTTCAACAAGTGTGCTTTGAAGATTCACATCATCGACAGTCATAAGCTGACCAAGACCAATGAAAATTGTGTCCAGATCAAGCTTTTCCGAACTCACAGTAGTCTTGAACTCATCGATTTTCTCCATATTTTCATCCTGATCCACTTCACTATTCTTGTCTTGACTCTGCTGATCTCCTTGATTTGGTGCTTCGTTCTCTTCACTACAATCGACATCGATAACTTCGTCTCTCACTTCATCTTTCACCTGTTTCGTACCAAAGATATGAGGTTCCAATTTACTGAAACTAAACGCCATATCCAAGATCGCTTGAACACACGTATGTTTCACTTCCTTCTCTTCTTCTGGATTGTTCAATGCACGCCAAAAGACAATCAAATATCGTTCAGCAAGACGCTTATCAAGCAGACAATAAAGACCCAAATTTTCTAATCCAGCTTCACGTAGCGCAGGTACGTCATTATCAATCGCAGGCAAGATATATCGCCCCATGCCATCGACAATCGGATCGCTTAAATTATGCGACGTGAGCTTTAATAATTGCGCGACAATTTCCAAACATCGAAGCCAACTTAAGACACGAGGATCTTGCAAAAGCACTTCAAGAGCTGTCATCTCTGTCTGTACCTTGGTGTATTCTTCTGAATTATACTCAAGTGTCTCGAGCTCTTTTTCAAGCTCTTCAACCTTCGCTTCAGCAGCTTCACGATCTACTTCACTTAATTTGTGCAATCGTGGACCAAAATTAATGGTTAACGACTCATTTGTAATCCCTTCTTGTTGTGACGCTGTGGTCTCTGATTCCTCTTGATGCGATGCTGCTCCGTCATTCTCCACTGAATCATACATGTCCGAAACAATTTCGGCCACAACCTGAATAAATTCTTGCTCCGAACTCGTCGAATAGATAAACGCCATTAATTCCATAATGCCTTGAATCAACTGACTGTCCGTATCAAGATTTCGTAGCAAGTTTTCTACCACATGAATCACATAAGTAGCAATACCAACGTTCTGACTACAATCAAATACAACGTACGCAATGCATCAAGTAAATTCCGACGTCCAACTTCATCTTGAAAATCCAGCAAATGGCCAAATTCAAGCAATTGTTTCGCAATCACAAGCACATCGTTCTCAGAATTGCACGTTGCTACAAGCATTTTGCTAAATTCCGACACATTTGGCACTAATGCAGCTGCTTTTTCCAAATCTTTGTTAATCTTTTGATAATAATGACATTGTTCTCTCCAGAAAAAGAGACTTTCAAAAGTAATTGCATCCTTTGTCTTGGACATTATATCCAACGCATTAAACTCGACAGTGTTTGTTAGAATACCTTGCGATCGCTCAGAGAAATCGTGTAATAACAAATGCGAAACTTTTGATCCAAGAGCAGGAAATTGTTCAATATCTAGCGCTTTAAGTAGCAACATTGGCGATGACTCACACGCTGGAAACCACTTTTTCAATACCATTTGCTCACATGCTCGACGTACTCGTACTGAACGATCTTGCAATCCTTGATCGAGTACAAATGTACGATCATTCACTGGAATGTCTTGAAATGCTACTGTCGTACCAATTATACGAAATGCAGCTATGCGTACATCTTCACTTGTATCACGAATACGAACAAGAAGCTCATCGTACAGTTCTGACGAGTAAATTAAAGTAGTGAATGCTGCTTTTCGTACATCTCTACATAAGAACAATTCATATTATAAAAAAAAAATTGTACTTAAATGACACAACGTACTTAGCCGGATCCGAAACCATCAATATGCGTAATTCCCTCGTAATAGTGTCTTCTGAATCTGATTCTTGGAGATATTTCAATCCATAAATACTCTGAATCCGCACAGATGTCAATTTATCCTTAAGTCGCTTGAACATCGTTTCTTTAAGTTGCTTCTTTAGGTCTTTCCTGTCAAACAAATTAGAAATTCAATCTCAATCGCGAAGTACGCATTTCTATTGTCTCGTACTCAATAACGTCGAGTGAATTCACGATAATCTGAAGCATATGACAAGCACGAAAGCGTACAACACGATCTTCAGCCTCTGTTGCGTTCATCAGTCGTTTTAATAGCTCAAGACGCAATTCTGTTTTTCCATGAATTTCTTTACTCTTGCTCTTCTTTTGACGAAAGAACTCGCCGACTAACGAAGCCACAGCCAGTAACACAACGTCACTTACTTTCGTAGTGACGAGAACACGAGCAATCGTAAGCCATAATTCATCTAGAAACATTACAAAAGTCTCTTCTACCACACCACACTTGCTGTCTTTTACTTCATCATTAAAGAGCGTGTTGAGACGACGCACAGCGGGAATGAGTGTACGCTGATGAGCAACATTATTACGATTACGAAGGTAGCTACTGGTTTCAACTGCTTGGAGCTGCACGTCCTGGAATACTTGCCGCAAAGTTAATGTCCACTCAGCATCCATTTATCCGTGTCACGTTTTTATTTAAGCGAAGAAAATACGAATATTCCTAATTTATAGAAGATTGCAAATGCAATATTTTGTGTAATATTCAGATAATCAATTTTTTGACAATAGTTTAATTTTTATACAAAACCTCATAATATGCAGCGCGGCTGCTGTAGCTTTGCGCTTAGAGGAAGCGAAAGTAAAGTCACCGACGTTTCGTCCTATACTTAAAACAAGTACGAGTTTAGTTTACAACCTTAACCCAAGGCTAATAAACTCTTCCGTTTAAATTCAAAAATTATTTTGATCTGAGGCAAAGCCGCCTAATTTTAAATGCATAATTTTTTCTAAATATGTATGATAAAATCTAAATACGTGTATAACTACTGGCTATCCAGTATTTTTTTGTTTGGGTGTGGTCACACCATGCCCATCTGGTGTGACACACACCCCTGTTACCAGGGTATGTGTAACCCCGTTACACTCTTCCCCATTAAGATACATTTACAGCTCCAATCGATTATTGCCTCACCGACGCTTGCGTGTCCGTTAGACACTGCGTTGGAACGAAACGACTTCCGTGCTCAATGAGCC